TAGCCTCTGCAGCCTCTGCGCTTGCTGGCCCATGAAGCTTCTCAGTCCACTTTTGGCCTTGAATGTTTCAGCTGCCCTCAACCCCCGGGGCTCCCTGCAAGCCATTACCCCTAATCCATCCACATTCTCCATGCTCCTCCTTTCCTTCTTTTATTTTTTGAGACGGAGTTTCACAATTGTTGCCCAGGCTGGAGTGCAATGGCGCAATCTCATCTTACCACAACCTCTGCCTCCTAGGTTCAAGTGATCCTCCTGCCTTGGCCTCCCGAGTAGCTCGGATTACAGGTATGCACCACCACACCCCGCTACTTTTTGTATTTTTAGTAGAGACCAGGTTTTACCATGTTGACCAGGCTGGTCTTGAACTCCTGACCTCAGGGGATCCGCCCACCTCGGCCTCCCAAAGTGCTGGGATTACAGGTGTGAGCCACCGTGCTCGGTCTCCAAAGACTTTTCACTCCTATTTAAATCTTTTCTGGGATAAATCCTTGTCATTGAAAGATCTCCTTTCAAAAGAGTTAACTAAATATTACCATTTAATCTCCAAGGTGTTTATGCCTGTCCTCCCTAACTGCTATGTGACGTCCATCAGGATGGGGACCTTGTTTTGTACTGGTTCCTTTTTTTCATGATAAAATTTATTGCATTGACATGCTTCTTAAAAATTATGTATGTATTTGTTTAGAAACAGAGTTTTACTCTGGCACCCAGGCTGCAGTGCCATGACATGATCACTGTTCATTGCAGCCTCGACCTCCTGGTCTCAAGTGCTCAAGTGATCCTCCCACCTCAGCCTCTTGAGTAGCTGGGACTATAGGTACGTGCCACCATGCATAGAAAATTTTTCTTTTGTTTTCTTTTTTTTCCTGAGACGGAGTCTTGCTCTGTCACCCAGGCTAGGGTGCAGAGGCACGATCTCTGCTCACTGCAACCTCTGCCTCCCAGGTTCAAGCGATTCTCCTGCCTCACTCAGCCTCCTGCGTAGCTGGGACTATAGGCATGTGCCACCATGCTGGGCAAATTTTTTGTATTTTTAGTAGAGATGGGGTTTCACCATGTTGGTCAGGGTGGTCTCAAACTCCTGACCTTGTAATCTGCCCGCCTCAGCCTCCCAAAGAGCTGGGTTATAGGTGTGAGCCACTGTGCCTGGTCATAATTTTCTTTTTTTTTTTTTTTTTGAGACGGAGTCCCGCTCTGTTGCCCAGGCTGGACTGCAGTGGCCGGATCTCAGCTCACTGCAAGCTCCGCCTCCTGGGTTCACGCCATTCTCCTGCCTCAGCCTCCCGAGTAGCTGGGACTACAGGAGCTCGCCACCTCACGCGGCTAGATTTTTGTATTTTTTAGTAGAGACGGGGTTTCACCGTGTTAGCCAGGATGGTCTCGATCTCCTGACCTCGTGATCCGCCCGTCTCAGCCTCCCAAAGTGCTGGGATTACAGGCTTGAGCCACCGCGCCTGACCAATAATTTTCTATGTATTTATTTTTGAGACAGGGTCTCACTGTATTGCCTAAATTGGAGTACAATGGCGCTCCACTGAAGCCTGGACCTCCCTGGGCTGAGGTGATCCTCCTACTCAGCCTCCTGAGGAGCTGGGACTATAGGTGTGTGCTACCACACTTGGCTAATCTTGCTATGTTTTGTACAGGTGGGGTTTCACCAAGTTGCCCAGGCTGCTCTCGAACTCTTGAGCTCAAGCAATCTTCTTGCCTCAGCCTCCCAAAGTGCCAGAAAAAAAGAATTTTTTTTTTTTTTTTTTTTTTTTTTGTAGAAATGGGGTCTTATGGTGTTACCTAGGCTGGTCTGGAATTCCTAGTTCAAGCAATCCTCCTGCCTCAGCCTCCTAAAGTGCTGGGATTACAGGTGTGCACCACTGTGACCAGCCTGACACACGTTTTAATAAGCATATATATATATATGTTTATATATACACACACACATATATTTCTTTTTCGAAGGGGGAAATAAAAGCTATTTGTGGTGAGCCTACCACTTGCAATGTAAAATTCATGTCTGTGCTGTCTACATTTCAAGATTAGCTCACAATCGCAGGGACTTACTGAAATGTAAAACGTCCCATAACAGTACTGTCTGTCCACACTGAGATGGAAATAAACCTCCATTAACCTGCAAGCAGATAGGTTACATGTGACAGTGCCAAACTGTGCACATATCTGAAATTCCAGTCTTCGCTGAGATTATTTTAGGTTTTATTATGAGATGCCCATACTAACACAAAATATTATTTCTTCCTTTTGAACAGTCATTTATATAGCCAGTAAAAAAAGAGAACAGAGGCTGGGCTCGGTGGCTCATGCCTGTAATCCCAGCACTTTGGGAGGCTGAGGTGGGTCAATCACCTAAGGTCATGAGTTTGAGACTAGCCTGGCCAACATTGCGAAACCCCATCTCTACTAAAAATACAAAAAATTAGTCATGCATGGTTGCTCATGCCTGTAATCCCAGCTACTCAAGAGGCTGAGACAAGAGAATCACTTAAACCTGGGAGGTGGAAATTGCAGTGACCCGAGATTGTGCCATTGCACTCCAGCATGGATGACAGAGCGAAACTCAGTCTCAAAAAAGAACAGAGAATCGAGTCAGATTTTCCTTTGCTAACTGATCATCTGCTAGAAATGACATGCAGTAATACAATTAAAATTTAAGAAACACAAAAAATGAGCCCAGCATAGCGGCTCACCTTGGTAATCCCAGCACTTTGGGAGGCTGAGGCAGGAGGACTGCTTCAGCCCAGGAGGTTAAGGCTGCAGTGAGCCATGATTGAACCACTGCACTCTAGCCTGGGTGACAGAGCAAGACCCTGTCTCAAAAAAAAAAAAAAAAAGGCAGTATTTCATTTTGAAGTATAACAATTAGCGCCATTAACCAAGTGTTCCAGTTGTCTAAAATGAGGCAGATGTAGCGGGAAAATTTTTCCTGTACTCTCTGAAGGTTTCATAACTGAGTCTCTGAACTAAGCTGACAGTAGACAGAATCGTAAGATAAAAAATATACAAATTTATAACATGTACTAGGGCATCCCAGAATCCAGTGATATCTGGAAGCTTATATAGCCCCTCCATACAAGAGAGGGGAGGCAGATGCAGGCAGCTCAGGGGAGAGAAAATGATTTTTGCTTTCAGAAGAATAGGTGGTGGCCTCTGGCAAAATCTGTCTGGGTGTGGAGCTGACTTCCCTTGGTGCTCTTCTCTGGTGATACTGGCTCATTCTTCCCTATTGATGAGACTTCCAGGAAGGGGGTCAAGACAATTGAGTTCCTTTGGGATGATCTGTCTTTACGCACATAACGGGGGATTCAGAGAATGCCCCTCCCTGCATTGGCAGGTCCCCATGTGCCCTCAGTTTGAGGGCATACTAACGTGGTAATCAGTGAACTAGTTAGTAATTGGTATCTTAACACGGCATAATTCGGGGTGGCATTTCTCCAACTCTTTCATTACTAACCAGCTATTATAAACCAAAAGTGATTCAAGTGTTAAAAGTGTCTTTTGAGTATCTCCCAGGCTTAAACGATCACGAATTCATAAGCATTGTTCAGAAGGTGGCTGAGCAGGCCCCCGGAATTCAGCGTCAGCATGCCACAGGATCTGAAGTTCAGGAAAGGTGTGACAAAAAGGAATTTTTCTTTTTCTTTTTTTTTTTTTGAGAGAGTTTCGCTCTTGTTGCCCAGGCTGGAGTGCAATGGCATGATCTCGGCTCACTGCAACCGCCTCCTCCTGGGTTCAAGCGATTCTTTTGCCTCAGCCTCCGAAGTAGATGGGATTACAGGAATGCGCCACCACGCCTGGCTAACTTTTTTTTTGCATTTTTAGTAGAGACGAGGTTTCTCCTTGTGTCAGGCTGGTCTTGAACTCCCAACCTCAGGTGACCCACCTGCCTTGGCCTCCCAAAGTGTTGGGATTACAGGCGTGAGCCACCACACCAGGTTGGCATTTTTATTTCTTAAAGGAAAGGATAAGGTGGGCTACGAAGACAACACAGTAGCAAACATCTGGCTGAGTGCTGGAGACAAGACAGTGGGAGATCCAGGCCAGGCTCCATGCACGGAACTGCTTGTTGACCTCTTTAGGCTTTGGATCTACAGGACCTTTCGTTACTGGGAATGAAAGCCTGTCTGACTGCGCGGGGTCTGAGGTTCCCTGCTCCCGCTAGTCACCATCTGCACGCGTGTGGTATTAACCTCCAGGGTTAGAACCAGAACCCCTGCGGACGCGGGAAAGGCTCGCGAGTCTGGGGATGACCTCAAGTCCAGCGATCAAAGTGCGGCCCGTTTTCAGGAAACAACTGCCACGATTCAATCTAAAAAGCTTCTTCGGTATTTTCGGCCACAGTTTGCTTCCATTTCCTTCCATCATTATTCCCTGGCGAAGTCTCCACGCACTCCCGTTCGCCGGGGAACTTAGGGTATCAGGCCTTCCCTAAATTGACGAGCGGGGGCCGGTGCCTTCGCTTGCCTTCCCTGGCCGCCGCTTGATTTCTTTTTCCTCCCCTTCGAGGACTTCTCCGCCCGCGCCCGCGCCCCAGCTTTCGTCCCGCTGTGGGGAGATGCCACCCAGCTCCACGGGAGGACCGCGGGGCGAGAGGCGGCGGACGCGCTCCGGAGGCCGCCGGCCGAAGATGAAGGGCGCGACGACATCGCGGTTTCCAGAATGGGCTCCTTCTCGCCCAGAACAATCAGTGCCGTTTGGAATCTTCTCGGCCTTCTCTGCGCCGTCCGCGCCTCTGGGCTCCCCGGTACCGTGGACCCGGCCCCGAGCCCCGCCCTCTCGCCCTGGGCTTCCCCTCCCCTCCCCTTCGCCCCCAGTCTCCCGGCCTCTTCGGGGCGGCGGAAGAGCCGAGAACCTTCGCGAAGGCGGGGCGGGCGCCTCCGAGGCTGGGCCCGCGTTTTGGGCAGTGGAAACTGCACATGCGCGGCGTCAGGGCCGGGCGGAAGTTAACGTCGCTGTGCCGCCGCCGCGTGACGCATTTCCTGTTTGTTGTCGGAGAAAGGAGAGAAAGGAAAGCGCGAGGAGACGCCGCCACCACCAGCGCAGCAGTGCAGGAGCTGTGAGGAGATTCGGGCAGTCACCCCGCCTTCCCTGCGTCCCGCCACCAGCCGCCTCTGTCCTCGGTGAGAGTCTGTTTCGAGGGCCGGGGGAGGTCGCCTAGGGCCCTGCGCGCGCCCGGCAGACGGCGGACCTAACCCGGCTCCTGGCAACAGCGTGGGGGGTGACCGGGGTCGCCGGTCGGGGCAGTACTGGAAGGGGCGGGGGCCGTGGCCGGGGTTGCGGGGCGAAAGGTGGGCGGCGTCCTCTGGGTCTGGGGCCGAGGCCGGGGCCGGGGCTGGGGGCTGGGGCCGCCCGGCCGCGTCCTCCCCGCCCGGCGTCCTTGCCGGAACGCGGCCCGGCCTCCGCGGCGGCGGTTGGGGGTGGGGCCCGGCCTGGGAGCGGCCGGCTGGGGCTCGGCTGGGGCTCGGCGGGGCCGGCAGCGTGGGAGGCGTGGAGCGCCTTCTTTCTAAGGCTCCTTCCCTCGAGTCTGAAACCAGAAACGCGAGTGGCTTGCGGAGCGGGAATGCCGCTGCCGTGCCGCCAAGTTCGGAGGGAGAAGAAGCAGGTGGTGGACCGCAGAGCCCTGTTTCTAGAACTCCGGACGGATTGTTGAGAAGTTTGTGGAAGAGCAGGCTGCGTTTCTTATTCAGAACGTCTGTCTGCTTTGCTTTGCGTTAAAGAATCTGCACCGTAGTTGATGCAACTGAAGTTTATGTAACAAGTTTATATTAACTCTTACCCAACTGAGGAAGGTCAGTGACACACGAAGTATAAACTGCAAACCGTATGTTCGCTCGAGAAAGGTTTTGGCGCTAGCGCATTTTTTAAAAAGGATGGGTTTTCTAGTCAGACGTAAACTTCTGTACTAATTTTCTCACGTAAACGAGGCAGGAAGTAGCCCGAGTAGAACGATCGTGCCACCACCGAAGGGATGCCGCCTGCGAGCTCAGAGGCTTCAGCCTGTTGGGGAAGAGTAGGCTGAGCGGAGCTCTCTGTAATTTTTACCGTTTTTGTTAATATGAGTTGCGAATTTAGTAAGGATTTGTGGCTACAAGTTAAGCCAAATTATTGATTTAGTAGAAAAGTTAAGACTAAAGACCGAAGAAAGGAAAGTAAACAGACTTTAACTACTAAATCTTGGTTGCTGCTGCTTCGTGTTTAACCGCACTTTTCCAAATAATGTTGCATATCAGAACGATTCATGGTTTCTGAAAGGAATTATATGCATCCACTTTACTACTCCACCTGTCCATCCGTCATGTTTTCTTTTTGGGTTTACTCCAAACTTTTTTTTTTTTTGAGACGAAGTCTGTTCTGTTGCCCAGGCCAGGGTGCAGTGGCGCGATCTCCACTCAGTGCAACCTCCAGCTCCCAGGTTTAAACGATTCTCCTGCTTCAGCCTCCTGAGTAGCTGGGATTACGGCTGCCCGCCACCACGCCCGACTAATTTTTGTATTTTTAGTAGAGACGGGGTTTCACCGTGTCGGCCAGGCTTGTCTCGAACTTCTGACCTAAAGTGATCCGCCTGCCTCGGCCTCCCAAAGTGCTGGGATTACAGGCGTGAGCCACCGCGCCCGGCCGACTGCAGACTTGTTTCCACTTCTGAGAGCCTTAAGCTCCTTTGAAGTTGGTTCTTTCACATTTCTTTCTGCCTTCTGTGATAAAGGGGTGAATATTTTTTATGCACACTTTAATGAGCTGTGGGTGTTTATGGATTATTCTGGATGTGAAATTTGGGAAGTAAGTTGCCTTAAATTGGTAGATGTGGAGACTTGACAGGAAGTGGGAGAACAAAAGGATTGAGAACCTTTGAAAAATGCCTAACTAGGCTTAGTCTGTACTGTGGAACATGAGAAAGTTGGGAATTTCAGAGGGCAAAGCTCTTGAAGAATTTGAGATGAGTTCAACACTCTCTTCAAAACATCAGTGTTTTAAAACTTATTTTCTTCTGGATATGAAAGTGTTAGGTTTGGGAAGTAATTCTGGCTGTAGGACAGTTTTTCCGGAACACTAGGTGGTGAGTATTGTTGAATATTGTAAAGACTGAAATAAGGATATGGTATTACAGTGTGATACCTGTAACTAAGTGGCATACATTAGCTTTCATTTTTAAGCAAGTCTGTAATTCCTTTCTATTAACTGATTTGGACAGTTTCAAACGAATAGTGGTACCCATCACCTTCATCAGTTTTCCACCTAGGTAACCCAAATCCAGGTCTGAGGTGGGGGTGGGATGGTATGTTTGAACATTTTTTTTTTTTGAGACGGAGTGTTGCTCTGTTGCCCAGGCTGTAATGCAGTGGCGCGATCTCTGCAAGTTCACGCCATTCTCCTGTCCCAGCCTTCCGAGTAGATGGGATTACAGGCGCCCGTCCCCATACCCGGCTGATTTTTTTGTAGTTTTTAGTAGAGATGGGGTTTCACCATGTTAGCCGGGATGGTCTTGATCTCCTGACCTCATGATCCACCCGACTCGGCCTCCCAAAGTGCTGGGATTACAGGCGTGAGCCACCGCGGCTGGCCCTTTTTTTTATTTTTTATTTTTGTTTTTTTGAGATGGAGTTTCACTGTTGCCCGTGATGGAGTACAATGGCGCCATCTTGGCTCACTGCAACTTCGCCTCCCAGGTTCAAGCGAATCTCCTGCCTCAGCCTCCGGAGTAGCTGGGATTACAGGCATGCGCCACCACACCCAGCTAATTTTTTTGTGTTTTTATTAGAGATGGGGGTTTCACCATGTTGTTAGGCTGGTCTCGAACTCCTGACCTCAGGTGATACACCTGCCCTGGCCTCCCAAAGTGCTGGATTACAGGCATGAGCCCCCTCGTCCGGCCGTCACTGTTAAGAGTATTTAACAAGAGGGCACTTCAAAACTTGGGCAGGTATTTTTAGTCATCCTGAACATGTCGCTGTGTACTGTCACCGCGGGACCGCACAGACACCTTATTGTCTGCCGTAAAGGTCAGCTTCTATATTGGTTAATGCTTACGGATATGTGTTGATGAGGAATAAGGTAATCAGCCTTTGTGTTTGTGAGTTGATGATTTGACAGGATTTTTACTTCTTAATTTTTACTTGCATCGAGGTTACACAGTGGATTAACAGGGTTTTTGAGAAACGTTTTTAAAACTTTCTCTTTTTCTAGGAAGTGATTCTGTTCAAAATCTGGTTTGGTTAAATTTGTCCAGGACCCCACCTGGTGGTGAGAGGCGGGTAACTGCAGGCTCATTAGCGAGTAAGAATAGGATCAGTGGCAGGATTTAGCAAATGGTGTAGTTCCAGGATAGAATTTGAAAATACCAAACTCAAAAAAATGAGGTTACTGAGAAGAAAAGCAAAGTTAGTGAAAACAAGAATATGTTAGAAATGATGATGTAGGAATGGAAAAATGACAACGCCTACCTGGAGAAAATGACTTCTTGGATAAGGCAACTAGTAAAAATGTGATGTTTTTTGTATTGATATTAATGAGGTGTTTTGTCAAACAAAATCGTTTATGTTTTTGTATGGACGCAAATCACTGTTGACCTGTTTCATGTTCCTGGAGACATCCTGCTTGAGAAGGAAGATTGATTTACTTGAGATGGAGTCCTTGCTCTGTTGCCCAGGCTGGAGTGCAGTGGCATGGGCTTGGCTCCCTGCACTCCCAGGTTCAAGCCATTCTCCTGCCTCAGCCTCCCAAGTAGCTGGAATTACAGGCGCGCGTCACCATGCCTGGCCACTTTTTGTATTTTTAGTAGAGATGGTTTTACCATGTTGGCCAGGCTGGTCTTGAACTCCTGACCTCAGGTGATCTCCCCGCCTTGGCCTCCTAAAGTGCTGGGATTACAGGCGTGACTTACCGCACTTGGCTTTTATTTATTTATTTATTTATTTAGTGCAGCTGGAATTGCCCTGTGTACCCAGACTGGTATCAAACTCCTGGCCTCAAGTGATTCTTCCACCCTGGCCTGCCAAAGTGCTAGAATTACAAGTGTGAGCCAGGTGACTGGCCAGATTTTAGAATTTTTTTTTTTTTTTTTGAGATGGAATCTCACTCTATTGCCCAGGCTGGATGCAGTGGCACCATCTCAGCTCACTGCAACCTCTGTTGCACGGGTTCAAGCGATTCTCTTGCCTCAGCCTCCTGAGTAGCTGGGATTACAGGCACCTGCCACCACGCCTGGCTGATTTTTGTATTTTTAGTAGAGATGGAGTTTCACCATCTTGGCCAGGCTGGTCTTGAACTCCTGACCCTTGTGATCCACCCGCCTCGGTCTCCCAAAGTGCTGGGATTACAGGTGTGAGCCACTGCACCAGAACAGATTTTAGAATTCTTAAGCTCTGTTGCAAAATAACGTGTCTTTGGAAGGGTGATTTAGTTACACTACATATGATTTTGCCCTCTCTGATATTTTTCTACCTTTTGCCACCAAAGGCTAAGTGTGTTTTTTTTTTTTTTTGAGACGGAGTCTCGCTCTGTCGCCCAGCCCAGGCTGGAGTGCAGTGGCGCGATCTCGGCTCACTGCAAGCTCCGCCTCCCGGGTTCACGCCATTCTCCTGCCTCAGCCTCCCGAGTAGCTGGGACTACAGGCGCCCACAACCGCGCCCGGCTAATTTTTTGTATTTTTAGTAGAGACGGGGTTTCACCGTGGTCTCGATCTCCTGACCTTGTGATCCGCCCGCCTCGGCCTCCCAAAGTGCTGGGATTACAGGCGTGAGCCACCGCGCCCGGCCAAGTGTGTTTTATATTTGTGTTATGCGTATACATATGTGCGTGCTCTAGTTGGTATGCTTATGAACTGTGTACCAATACTTACCCCTCTCTGCCACCTTGAGATGGCATATACCACTTGGGTGGGCTTTGAATCTGAAGTTATTTGTGCCTACAGGAATGTCCAGGACACAGAGTGCTCAGAAAATATTGATTGAATTAGATTCTTTCTGGTTTGTTTGTGTCCTGATGACCTTCCTGTGATTAATAATGGAATCCAGAATTCAAGAAAGTTGGAAAAAGTAAGTTTCAGCAGCATTAGAGACTGAGTACTTAACCCAGTGTTGCTTGCTTTCTTTTTTTTTTTTTTTGGAGATAGAGCCTTGCTCTT